GGCGAGTGGGGGGTGGGGGGTGGGGATAAGAAAGAACACATTCACAAACGTGGGTCCACATGCACTTTGAATTACGAACGCACATCATCTTGCACTTTGAAACCCGCCCCCTCCAGCCGGGAGCAACACGTTTTCAGGGTCTGTAAACACCCATAACAGATATTTATCATCCTATTCTCAGTATATTTTGGGTTTTTCTTTCACCAGCATGTACAAAACTCAGACATTCTCTGGGGTTTTAATCTATTTGGGTATTTATTGGACTGTCATTCCAAGTGTATAAGCTAGCTTTAGGGTTGGCGTTTTCCTTCAGGACAATTTTCTGCCACTATTCTGTGAATGGTGACTCAGTTCTGGCTTTCAGGCTTTTTTTTTAAATGTGATGAACTTTTATTTATTAGTATTTTATGCTGTCGGCAAGTCCTCTTCTGTGTCGTAGCCCTCGATCTTAAGGTCGACGACCGGTTTTGTTTGAATTTTGTCATTTGGCTTCTTTTCTTTTTCTAATTTTGTTTCAAGCTGCAAACTCAATTCTTTCATGACTGATCTGGATTTGATTTGCCTCGCCTCAAACTCCCGGAGGAAATCGGGTGCAATGGTCGGTCATGAACGAATGGCAACACGATGCGTTTGTGTGCTCCGAACGACTGCTGGTCAGTACTTGACGTGCTGTGCTTTTTCATTGTCTGTGTCTGCCACGTGCGCTCATGTGCCTTTGCCCTCTGCCGGCCGAGATGTCCGTCTGGCCTCAACTGCTTGTGCAGTGTGCCACCTACTGCAGATCCCGAGGTAAAGAGCATGTGCGTGCCTTCATGTGTGTTTTGCTTGTTCTGTTGCATGCATCATGCTTCAAAGATACAATTACCGATCAGTTCAGGGAGATTTTTGTTGGGAGTTTTTCACTGTTTGAATGAAAAAATACCTTTTTGGAAACAGACGTGTCTGATTTAAGTGGAGGATGTGCTCAGAGAGCCGGCAGACCCTTTTTAGCCTTTTCAGACTTCAGATGTTCACCATCTCTTCGGCTTCGGTGGCTCACGTCTCCCCTCCTGTTTTCCAGGCGATGAAACCTACCAGGACATTTTCAGAGACTTTTCACATATGGCGTCAAACAACCCCGAGAAGCTCAAACGCCGCAGCGCAGATCCCAAAACTTAACCGGCCTCCGGCTCCGCTTCCTCCTCTCCAGTTTGTACACATTTCGGCCAATCCAACCGACGTCTTCTCACAGGCACACGCCGGCGAGTCGGCCTCAGGCGTGCAGACACACACTTTCTGCTTGGCTTCCTGCCACGTGTTCAGTCACAGCTCAGCTGGTGTTGACTTCAGAGGGGAGGAAAGCGCCAAACAGTGAATTCTTTCTGTGAGCACGTCAGTGCGGAACAATTGTGTCCAAGTGGAAACACTGGAACCACTTTATGAGTCCAGTATGAGGTGTTTTAATGTCTCCCAGAGGGCAACGCCATCCCTCTGCCAACATTTGCTGATTAAAAAATTGATTTTTCCTTCTTTTGAACCTTAAAAACTTTTTTTTTTAATAGTTTTTATGCTTTTTTTCTAAGGACTTGTTTTATGAAAAGAGTCTTAGACACAACATAAATGTTGCAAAAGAGTTACGCTATTGTCCATCGAAGTGGAATGTGCTCAGAATTTGCATCCTTTAGAGGCAACTTTTTTGTATCCTGCGTCTACCGTTTGTCAGGTACTTTAAATTTGTAACGAGATCAAATAAAGTACAGTACAAACTTACATTTCAGTGTTTTTAATCGTTGAGTTCCCATCTCTATTTATGAAACTATTCTTTTTAAATGAATTTACAGAAGCCCAACAGAGGGCGCCAAGAGTTGATTGTTCCAGAGAGCACCTCACTGGTTTAAGAAAAGACAGATTAAAACAACAGCCAGAGTAGAAGGTCAGAGTTTGAGGAAAATAAAATACATTTCAGATGTATGACAACCTTTTTTTACCTGCAATGATTACTTGACCTGCGTTAAGCATTAACCAAACGCCTGTTTTATTGCAACAGCTCAGTGTGTCAGTTCACAGTGACCCTGTTCTTGCTTCAAACATGGTGTTAATCCAGCTGCCTCCAAAGCCAAACTCCCCCAGTGCACAAAGGCTTATGGTTACAGAAGTTCACAGAGCTTAAGCAAACAATTAATGCATCACCCAAAAGTGCACTTGAGAAAACACAGTCTTGTACTCTTGCAGAGCAACATGAAGGAGAAATTCCTGAGGCTACGAAGGGTTTTAGCTTTTCTGAGCTTTGCATAATAAATTAGTAAGCACTCTCCTAATGCATAGATCTGCAGAAGCTAACGGCGTAGTAGCAGTACAGCACACATTAGAGGGACAAGACCAGCACAGAGGCTAAAGCTGAAGCTCCTACTGGTTTACAGTGTATCATTTGGCTTAGTCACTTTGATTATTAAACAATCTTAAAAAGAAATCATTCTAGAAAAAATAAAAAAGACCATCTTTAAAATTACAAAGGACCACAATTTAAAATCTAAGAGTTGTGTAAATTTTATTATGTAATCAAGGTGCAAATTCCTATAAATTACTTCTAAATAAAAATAATGTTCTGTTCCTACTTTTGTTTTCTTTTACTAAATCTCTTGAAATATCACTGACGTGCAGCTAATTGTGCACCTCTTTGGAGATAGTGTGCAGAGAAACCAATTATATTTGGATGAACACAGCTAAATATAAAAGTGCAACACTTAAACTGGAGACTCTTCCAGCAGCAGACTCACTTCAAGTTGACCTGAACTAGAAAGACAGGAGCTGACAACTTCCCTGTCGTGTTAAAGTGAGCTTAAAGGAGTTTTTCTCGCCTCGTCAGCAGATTTCAGGAGGCAACTCTCGCCACTTCAGATGTGAGCCTCTGAGGTATTTTGCAGTTCGCCAACCGGTGCATCAAAATGTTGATGATGTCCTCCGAAAAAGCAAAAAAGGAGGGTGGTCATTTCACCTGTCTGGCTGTTCCAGTGTCCATCTGCTGCAGCTCTGGACGTGCACTTGGGTCGGCCGGAGGGCGCCGCCGCGGGGGCGGCAGGTCCGTGCAGGAGAAGAAGTGAGGCAGGGTGCCCATGGTGAGGGTGCCCAGAATCAGGAAAGAGCCCGCAACTATAAAGGAGGCCACGTAGTTACCGGTGATGTCCTTCAGCAAGCCTTTGGACAGAGAGAGAAGAGGTCCATATGTAAAACCAAATCACATGAAGGATTCAGACTCAATATGTAGAAATAAATTACCCAAAAAGCAGAGAATGGAAAAAATGGCTGGGTAGTGCTCAATGCTTTGGCATTGGAACACCAAGCTTTGATGGCATATTAACACTTCAAATCAAAGGATAACAACGTTTTCTACATTTATTTTTTTATGTTCTATGAATATTCTGATTCATTTTTAACATCATCTTTCCTTTTTTTCTTTGCATAATTTAAACTCCAAAAGTAATCTAAAAATTTCCACCTGAGATAGAAACAGTTGTTCAGGTCAGACTGACCCATGTCACTCACTTAATGTTTAACTACTTTCAGTTTCAGTGCTTTAAACTTTAGATTAAACAAGCTGTCACTGCTGAAAGTGTGGTGCTGTTTTTTTCAATCACTCAAAATGAAAAGCTCCTGAAAAGGCATAAATGCAAGTTCCCATGAAGAATTTGAGAGAAATGTGAACAAAAGAGACATTTTAAAAAGGTTTGAGCAGCAACCTTTGTGTCTTTACAGATGTCAGACCTTATTGTGGACTAACTACTATACAGGAGTTCATTAATGGACCCTTGTCAGCATAACAGGAGCTTTTTTTGTTTGTTTAAATACTGAAGCTCCACAGGAACATCACATCATGGTTTGCTTTTGCCACTGGTTTGACACCAGTGTTATGATAGCATCCTGTAATGGATACATCCTTCAAACCCCCAGACCTTTGTCTCTCCATCGATGTGTAACATTTGTTGGTCGAAAAATCTCTGAGCGCCCTCACCTGACAGGGGCCCCCCCAGCAGACCGGCGCCGCTCTCTATGAGCTGCAGCAGCCCCAGGCCCCCCATGGTGCGCTCCACGCCCACGATCTTCGGCACCACGGCGAACGCCAGGGAGGTCAGGGCTCCGGAGCAGAAGCCGTACAGCAGGCTGATGGCCACCAGGGCGGCGTAGGACCCGGTCAGGGAGCTGACGGGCAGCAGCATGATGAAGGTCCCCGCCAGGGCCGTCCACGCGCTGAGCAGATGGATCAGCCGAAAGTGGCCCAGGTCCGAGAACCAGCCGGACGCGATCCGCCCCAGGATGTCGGTGGCGCCCGCGGCGGACATGACAAACGCGGCGTGGTACTCCGAGAAGCCGGCCAGGCGGCTGTGAGCCACCAGGTGGAAATAGGGCACGAAGTAGCCCACGTTGAAGAGAGAAATGGCCAGCGTGTAGGTGAGGTAGGGCCTCTCGCAGAGCAGCGACAGCTCCAGGTAGGACGACACCCTCTGCAGCACCTCAGCACACGACGGCCTCCTCTGAGAGTCCACGAGCTGGGGAGAAAAACCACCAAGACTCAGGACACACCTCAGACTCCAGGTTCAGTCTGAATGTCAAACCTCTGAGCTGATCACCACAGAATAGAGACAAATCTTATTCATTCACCTCTGGGTGACAAAAAATGGACCAAACTGGATTTGACTTACTTTCTAATAATGAGAGAACAATTAAATAAAACACACTGAACAAGAGCGAGCTAATTCAGTTGGGGATGTTTTTTAGTGCCATCCAAGTTCAGGATTGTTGAACAGGATAGTTGCTGGTATTCTGCAGCCAGTCTCCAGCTCACAACAGACGAAAAACTAAAGTGTTCACTGAAACAAAACCAAAAAAAAGGTAACCATCTGCATTGATTGCATAAACAAGAGATCAAACAATAGAAAAACCTGTGAAAAAGAGAAGTGGGAGGAAGAAAGTCGCAGAACTCAAGGTAATGAGAGCTAGATCAAGGATCTGAAAGGAGAAATGAGATAAAGCAAGAGGAATATTTACAGAGGGAAATGGGAACAGTGGCCTCGTGACAGAGCTCCAGCTGGGCTGCCCATCTGAACTCTTTTTGCCCAGCTTAGTGGGTTCGAACGCTCAGGGCAGAAATGACCAAACCCTGACCGTAACTCCGGTCAGCGGATGGGAAACACTGGTTTAGTTTTTTCTCAGAGTGAAAATGTTTTTCTTCAGCTGGGCCTGTCAGCAGTTTCTATCCCATGAAAAGCCGACGCTTTGCCACACACAATGCCAGCTGCACAATGGGGACGCCCCCTCTGATGTGACCCACCTTGGCGGGGGCTTTGGGCGGCCGCTGCGGGCGGATGAGGGCTCCGCAGGGCACGATGTTCAGGCTGAGGCCGCCCAGGATGAGCAGGGCGCCCCGCCAGGCGTACGTCTCCACCAGCAGCTGGAAGAGCGGGTTGAAGGCAAAGGAAGAGAGGCCGATGCTGGAGAAGCCCAGGCCCAGAGCCAGGGTCCGTCGGCGGGTGAAGTTCGCCATGACTGTGGCCACCATGGGGGTGAAGACCAGCCCCCAGCCCAGACCTGGTGGGCAGAGCACAGTGAGGGCAGCTTTGGCTCCTCTGGGTCACAGAGGTGCTTAAACAGATAAATGATTTACAGCAAGTCTTGTTTTTTTAAACTTCAACCTAAAGATGGTAGAAAAATGAACACAAATGAACTCCATAAGAGAAGCAAATGCAAATGCGTGCATAAGTGTCCTTCACCCTCCAACCGGCAGGCCTTTAGAGATTCACCAAAAGCCTGATGTTATTGTACAATTACTAAATAATACAGTTGCTATTGTACCTGAAATTAAACCCATGGTGAGGTAGAGGTGAACAAGGCAGGTGGCCTGCGAGGCGAGTATGAAGCCCAGTGCAGTGAGAAAGCCTCCGGCCATCACCACCACCCTGGCATTATAGGCGTTACACAGCGCGGCCCCCAAAGGACCTGCAACACACACACACACACACACACACATCTCCATAATGTTATCTGCATCCACCAACAAAAGCCTTTTTGCCCATGGAGTGACTTTTAGTTTACCAAAAGCATCTCTTACTAGAGAGGAACACATATTTATCATTCAATCAAAAGAACGTATCTGCTAGTCTTTGCTTTAAACACATTTCCCTAAAAGTCAGCTGGATATATTTGGTTTGTTTTGAACAGTTGGGATTTTCTCTATATCATAGAAAAATAAATACACATAAAAGCAAAAACAAAAAAAACAAAAGCATGCATGACCGAAGATCTTAAGTTTGCAATAAAGGAGGAAAAGTGCTTTTTATGGGGTTAATGAGTGGCAGCCTCTGCTTCATGAAGCATGAAACAACAAACTGAGTGACTCGCTCTTCTTTCAGTTACCTGCTTTCACAGTTGCATAATAAAAGAGTGGATCAATGAATAAATTAACTGTCAAATGTTTCTAGTCAGCCAACAATCAGCTATTGATATTATTGATTTTGTTTAATTTATTCAACGCTTTTGTTTAATTACGGAGAGAATTCAATCCTTTTGAAAGTTGAAGCCATTAGTTCAGGCTCTGAGATGTTCACAGCCGAGTCACAATTTAAAAACCAGCTGGAGGAGATGAGCCGCCAGCGAGAACCAGTCTATGCTCCGATGTGCATTAGCGACTCACTGAAGAACTGCTGCGCCGCCAGGCCGGTGGACGAGATCCAGGAGATGGCCTGAGCGCTCTCCTCAAAGTACTGGACGAACTCCACGAAGAAGATGCCCAAGCTGCGCATCACGCCGAACACCAGGCTCGTGCTGAGGAACAAGGCGGCCACCAGCACCCAGCCCCAGCCTCCGTCGGGGCCCTCTGCCTCCCCCGCCCCGCTCTCTGGTTTCGGCTTCGAGCTCATATCTGCAAAAGAGAATAGAGAGGAGTGTCGTAGGAGGAATCAGGAACGCAGCGCGGCGAGAGGAGCAGGTGCTCCAAAATTAGCCCCAAACACGCAAACACAGGAAAGTGCAAAGCCAGAAAGAGATCCTCTTTGCAGCAGTCAAACGCTTAATGATTAACCTCTGCCTGGCCAACAAACTCTAGCTTTGTCATGCATGTGTGACTGGGCTGCTTAACAATTTGACCCATATTTGACAAGATATAGGCGAGAGGTGAGCCGTGACAGCAGCTCCTGACTGACTTTCATTGATCACAGCTGACGAACTGCTTACTTTTTAAGGTCCAAACTGAAAGATCAGCTTGTCAGTCAACACTGGTAGTGGTGTAGTGGTGAGTGTCCTCTCATGGGGGAGACAGGGTTCGATTCCCTGACAGGGAAACATGTACAATTGTCGCTTTGGATAAAAGCATCTGCTAAATGCATCAACATAACAATTTCTGCTTCACTGAATTTCCAGAAAACGAAAAGAAGTGATCAAAAAGGGAAGGAAATGCACATGATCATGAGAAAATTTGAGTCATTTGCCTTGAATATGAAAACCCACATTCGAACCACAGCGCTGGTTAGTCTTTTTAACACGTTTGATGAGGTTTATCGATGAGTTACAAACATCACTTGCATTTCTCTTAAACCTTTTTTTCACCTTGTGCATTACTTTTATTCAAATCAAGATTTTTTTTGCTACAAATACAATAAAACGAAGTTATGTTTTCATGGTACTTTTGAATAAAGATCTATTCAAGGTGTCGCATCTTATAGTTATGTTTTGTATCGTAGCACAGAGTTAATTCAGGTTTGTCAGGTCATTCAGGTATATTGAAACCAGTGCACGTGCGATAGTTCTGCTTAGCACGTTAACTGGACGTCGCTCGTCACTGCGCTTGCGCACTGATTCTGTCAGTCATCAACAAAACCGCCACAATAAGACAGACGTTACAGAACAGAGTTTTTGAAAAGAAAAAAGTCTTCATATTTTTTTCCTCTGTTGCTAACGATGTATTACCCAATTTTGATCAATTCTAGACGCGTAAAGTTTATATTTTCCGAACCTTTGCCGGTGTAACACGCTCTCCAGTCACGAGCTTTTTCCAACGGTCTCCAGCCCGAATCGTTAAAGCGTGGAAAGCCTCCCGGGGCTGCTCCGGACACGGGTGGGACTCACCCTCCGCCTGTCAGCTGTCTCCGCAGCGGCCCATGCTTCGCTGTCTCCAGACTTCAGGGAAAAGTTTCTCGCGGGACGGCACCGTGGTTACCGGAGGAGGACTTTCAATGCGCAGCTGAGCGTGCGCAGTGAGCGCGAGGCGCTGCTCATTAAAGGGTCATAACTCATTAATACAAACAAGGAACACATGGAACAAAACGTATTCAGCCGCCTGGACATGTGTTGTTATAAGCCTGCTAATATTAGTCAATAATAATCACGAATAAATAGGTTTAAAGTGTATGTTTATTTAGCAAGAGAACAAACGTTTTATTATATAATGTATTACATGAACTAGCTCAAATTTGAAAATATGAACATAGCCAATTGATTGTATTCTAAAGGTTGCTGTCAAATAATTGACTTTATTTTGTTTATTTCTGTAAAAGAATTAGAATAATACATTTCAGTCCCCCCACAATTTGCCCAAGAGAATACAAATATTCTTTTGAAGTAAATTTGCGAGACACTCAGGTTTCTTTTGAATTTGGGCTCTACTTTTTTAATACTAATACACTTTATTTGGGGGGACTAAGGTTCCAGCTGTCCAACCTAGAGGGAGAACGCAAGTGTAGAGACAAAAGCTTTCATTTTCATGATCGAGAGTTACTAATATCTCCAGCACAAGCAGTGTTCTGGTTCAACAACTGACACAAAGACGTGAGATTAGGAAATAAAATAGAGCGTCATGTGAGGCAGACCAAACTCAAACTGAGAGGACTTCTTTAACATCATTGACCCGCGTGTTCAAAGGATTAACACTAGGGGGAGGCAACTTCAAGGCCTTAAACCAGAGCTTACTGAAGGCCTAAGATGTCTATCATCAATAGTTTGGTACCTGTGGTTAACCTGAACTCTTCTTGACTGTTTGATATCACACATATGTGAGTTCAGATTATTAATAGTGCTTACTCAGCAGAACAGCTTCAAAGGTTAAAGAAAAAAAACAAAACAAAGCAAAACACAAATGCAAGAGCATGGTTTGTTAATGCACTGAAATATTTTCCGATGAGGTTTTGAAGTAAGAACTAATATCGCATTTGCTTTTTCCAAACCCTCGTCTTTACTCTTTATGACCTTTGTGAACTAGTAAACCTGGAAACCTCTTTCAGCGTTTGACTGGTGACACACTGATGGAGGAAAAAACTACTATTCATTTATTTTTTCAAAAGGCGGAGAGGGGAGGGGGACAGAAGCTCGGAAAGTCCCGTCGAACTTCCAGTGTTTGTGGACCGAGCACAGACAATAAGCCCATCACGCCACAACTCATCAGGGAGCAGGAAACGGGTATGACAGAGGGTGAGAGAGTTCAGCGGGAGTCTGCGGCCCCTCCACGGCCACCCGGTCACCTCCAGGAAGCACTCTAAAGCTCTCACACGTGTTGTCTGCTGGTAGTTAGATTGTGAAGTAATAGGACCCTGGAGGAAACAGGTGCCCCTCGGCTTCATTGTTTTCACACCAAGACAAACACGGTGCCAAACCTTAAAGATGGCGGCGCGGTTCGATTTAAGAGAAGATGACTCATCGGCAGAAAGATTTCTAAGGAGAGAGAGAGAGGAAGTCCCAGGAGGGGAAAGGCTCAAAGATGGAAGCGTAGCAGAAAGAGTCGTATGTTTTACACATCTGCCACAATCTGAAAATTCATGAAATTCTGTCTGTCAGAGAGAGAGTTGTGATAAGCTTTAAAGACAAGAGTGAGATTGGGTTTCTGTCATGGATCACATAGAGAGCACAATCTGATAAATTAATCAAACACCAAACCATGGTCCAAATGATATAAAAATGTTTTAATTTAAATTTGTCCCGCAAATGAACTCTTACAAATACAGATTTAAAGTCATTACTAACCATTCAGTCACTTTCATTTATCTTACTCTAATGCTTTATTCATAAAGAACAAAATATCTCATTTTACACTTTAGATTCAAACAATGAGTCCTTTGCCTGCTTGGACTGTAAGAGCAAGTGTTCTATAAAAATACACAGGCCCCAGGCCATAAGGTTAAAGGTTAAATCCAAGTTAAATACACATATAATAAAAAAAGATGAAGCGCTTCACCAGCTTTAAAACTCATCTTCACTCCAAATGTTACACAACCACCCCTTTTTAACTTTAACTTTGCTTTCTCTCTCTGTCCCACTCTTCAAACACATTTCTTTGGACTTTTATGTACATGCTTTCTCCTTATACATTTCCACTCTTTACTTCTCCTCACAAACCATCAAAAATACTTGCTTAAGCCATTTCTAATACCACTGTAAAAGAAAACTCTCCCTGGATTTCTACTCAGTCTTAGTGTTCTATGTCAGCCTCAAACCTTATCCAACAAAACAAATTTGTAATTATTTTCTTTTCCCTCCGAATTTGCGAGATGCTTTACTTTCAATCCCAATTCAGGTTCTAACAGTGTGTTCTAACAGATTTGGATCGGTGGCCTTCAACGAGCCGGGCCGGGCCTCTTCAGCAGGCCTGCAGAAAGGGCTGGAAAGGCTCGGCCAGCACCTTGTAGCGGATCTTGGTGTTGGTGATGGCCCCGTGTTTCTGCCGCAGGTGCAGGCGCAGCTGGCTTTTGTGGCGGAAGTGAAGGTCGCACTTCTCACACTGGAAAAGGAGCGGCCGGGCGTTAGACGGAACAAACGGAAAGGCCCGCGGGCGCGCCGGCTGGCTTTCTGCTGGGCGGCATGTGGACTTACAGAGTAGGGTTTCTCTCCGGTGTGGATGCGCAGATGGCTCTTCAGCGTCTGCAGGTGGCGGAAGCGGGTGCCGCAGGTGTGGCAGGGGTAAGGCTTCTCCCCCGTGTGAATCAAGACGTGGGCCCTGAGATGGGCAACCTGATACCAGAGGGAACAAGTTACAGCTGTAAAAGACAGCACGAAGAACGATAAAACACTTGGCTTCCTTTTAAAACCTTAACCATCAAGTTTTTTTTTTTAAATCAATTGAAGGCTTTAAATTAGACCCAGACATCTCACTGGATGAGTGCACGAAGTGTGCAGACTTCATCACAATCAAACCACTCCAAAGCCCTTCTTAAATATAACAAATCCAAGGACATAAAGACTAATTCCAGACATGCTGATTTTCTCTGCTTGGCAGAGCTTGTCTTGCTGAGATAATTATCTTTTAGGTTTGATAAAAGTATTGTTTCCATTAGATTAATAGAGACATTTTGGATCCGACACTTCTACTAAAGGCCATGATATTGTTTTTCACATGTTCAGATTCTTATTTATGAGGTCTACTTAAAATGGTTTATATGTCTCAGCCTACTGGGAACACAGTTCTATAAACTACCTTTTAACCTTAATCCCAAAAGGTTCAGTCTCACTGTGTTTGTGAAAAAACTTATAACTCTTGGATTTTGTTTTTTGAATATAAAGTAACAGACCAAAAGGCATTGAAACATCCGAAACAGCCCTGAAGAGCAAAGCGCGCTCTCCTGTGAATTTGGCTCTCACCTGAACAAATCGGGCCCCGCAGGTGTCACAGCGGTAGGGCTTCTCTCCGGAGTGAATGCGGGAGTGAGTTTTCAGGTTGGCCGGCCGGTTGAACTGAGCTCCACACACGTTGCACCGGTACGGCTTGTCTCCTGCAAAGTTCCTTTGGTTACATATTTTCCCGCCAAAACCCCAGGATGAACAGGAGCGAATTATGGAGTCAGCAGTTATTCCGGGGATTCACCTGCGCAGACGGACTTGGTTCCTTGTAGACCGCCAGAATAACAATAGGGCACAAAGTGGTTCTCGCGCTTGATTTGAGGCGGGATGAGATGGGAAGCTTCAGGATCAGACGGATGCAGTTTTGGGAAAATGTTGCTGGGGGAAACTGGAGAAGGCAAGAAGAAAATATAAGAAAAAGAGTCTAAACACAGACGTGTTATTTGGAAGACTCTTTGTTAGAGTATGCTTTTGGTGTTTGTGCCCACCTGGAGCCTCTTTGTAAGAGGCAGGAACCGTGGGATGATCCACAGAGGGAGGTGGCCCGAGGGGAGGGGCTCGGCCAGAACCCTCGTAGCAGGAGGCCTGCCCCTGTCTGATTAGGCAGAGATTCAACGTTTCCTTAAGATTTTCTCATGTCTCTGAGATCCCATGTGTCACCGTTTGCTCATCCGGCTTACCTATCAATCTGACCAGGCACTTCTCCAGACCACGCCTCTGCTGGCTGTTTGGGTGTTGAGTTCATCCTGTTAGCTGTGGCTAGAACTTGACATTGAAGCTCCTCTGTCTCTTCTACCTTCACCGTAGCAGCAGCACAGAGAGGGTTTAGCACAATGTACTTGTACTTTTTCCAGTTGCAGGCCTTTGGGTCTGGTGTAGCATTGTTATCACTCTGGGAAAAAAAACAAATACCCTGAATTAAACTTGAAAAATTAGCTTTTCTTGGACATTCACGTAGCTTTGGCTGTAAGGATTATTATAAGTATCTTTTGAAACCTACCACTAAGTTTTTGCTGCAGGTGTTTGACTCCGCCGGAGAGTTTGGGTGGCAGCTGGAGCGGGCGGGGCTGTTTGGGGATGAGGTCGGGGTGCCCGAGAGAGGTGACCTGGGGTCCCCTTTGAGCTCATTTGGCTTTGGCTGGCAGGTCAGGAAAGCCCCTGGCTTGAGAGAGCCCTCTGAAACAACAGGCAACCTGCAGGAAAAACAAAGGAAGTGTTGTAATGACCTAAATCTGTAAACGGACAAAGGCACAAAAGCTGTGGCAGCCTCCAATGATGTGAAAGCAAAATACCAAAGTCACGAGATAGACTCAAACCTGAATCAGTTTATTTAATCAGTGGGTAAAGTAATCATTTGCAGATAGAAAGTTTACTCTCTTACCTTGTTTCCCCTGCTGTTGGGAGTGTTTGCTCACATTCCACATGGTTCAGTTTTCCTCCTTTGGGGGCTACAGAGGCTACAGACACCCTGGAGTCCAGCTCCAACTGGGGGTATCCGGTGCTCAAATTCTCTGTGCTGAGATAAAAATCAGTTTGAAATGCATTTGATGGTCTTTTCAAACTCTTAGATCACACCCTTTTCTACATTGTCAGTCACAAAAGCTATTTTCGGGCCCTCACCAGTGCATGTGCATGAAATCCCGGCAGGTGTCGGCCACGTGGTCCATCTGCAGGTAGGCAGCGACGGCCAGCACGCCGGACACGATGCTTTGGGTCAGGGGCAGGCGGGAGGTGTACATGAAGTCCAGCAGGACGGAGACACAGGACGGGTCCAGGGTGTTGGGGAGAGACACGGTCATGAGCTGCTCGCCGCCGCCGCCCCCCCGCCCCTGAAGCAGCACCCGGCGGGAGTACAGGGAGTAGAAAAACCCGCTGAGGACAGAACACGCAACCTGGTGAGTTTGAGATTTCCTCTCCGGGTGGGAAAAGGTCAAAGAAAGCCTCGAGAGGCCTTCCTTCCCAGAGAGGCGGGAGGACTGACCTGCAGGCCACGAGGACGGCGCAGTGCGCCCGCAGGTGCACGCTGCCCACCACCAGGGCGGTGTCGGTCAGGATGCCTCTGTGCCGGAGCTCGTTCAGGTTGAGCAGCACGTCCTCGGAGTGGCGCGTGAACTCCTTCACGTAGCCCTCGGCCCGCATCACCTGCCCGCCGTCCGCCCCGCGTCCGGCCAGCGCCTCCATCAGGGCTCGCCCGGGTCTGCGGGAGATCTAACGTCGGTCATTTCCACGCACCGAGAACCCGCAGGACGGAGGGTTTCATTCAAAAAGGTTTTCCGACAGACCTACCTGTAGCTGAATGAAATAAATATACTGGAGTGTCCCAGACACATTTATTAGGTGAGACCAGCTCCCTACTCGTACCTGTTTAAGGAAAAAGAACAATTTTAAAAATGTATTTCAGATGCATTGTTGTGTCCACTGCTCTATTGAGAACACAAATAATAAGCCATGTGCGCCTTTGCCTCTAATGTTGGGTGGAGGATGAGATGGTTAACACTTTTATCTCTAAAATCTCCTTCCAGTGACTCCTATCTGATGAATTCTTAAATACACCAGTTCCTTCAGGTTTACATCTGAACTGTTGCAGGTTACAAATGAACTGACCTCTAACAGTGATAACTATACATAGCATACACAAAAAAAAAAACATATAGAAATCTCCATAATACAGATAATCTCATACATACAAACAGGATGTAGGTGGATTTACTCAAAACTTACCCCGACCAGCAGGGACGAGAACTAACGTGCACTGCACCGAGGTCAAACCCGAGTCTCCGTTTTCAGTCAGGGATGTGGAGCAGGGTCTCGCCCACAGCTTCCACTGCCTCCCAGCAGCACTATGAAGGAGAGCCCAGGGCGGGGAGCTCTTTATAATGTCTTGCAGGAAACTCCCCTACAACCAGAGCGGCTTGTTTCCTCTTTCCTCAATGGCCCACGCGTACGGTGGAAGCAACGCAGGAAAAGCCAAGGCCCGGGCTCCGGGCTCTTAGTATTTTTAGTGGCCTATTAGTTTTTCTAAACCCCCACAGCTCGGCGAGGAGTAATGGCAGGAAAGCTCAGTGTGTTTTTGTGCCACGTTGAAAAAATACATGTTTGGACCCTTGGGGAGATGCGGTACGTGCCTGGCTGTCCAGGGGCAAGCCAGTGAACATCCCCCACCAACGCTTTCCTACTCTTCACCCCTCTCTAGGTCAGGGGGAAATGTTTGAGAGGAAGCTTGAAGACCTATGTATTGTTGCACAAACAATTTATGCTCAACTCATTGAAATTTTGTCTGGCTTTGGATTTTGTTTCAGTTCAGAAAAGTTATCTTATGCTTGGCGCATCCCTCCCAATTATCCATGATTAAATTGAACCAAAACTAAACATAGATGGGAAGGTGTTATTAGGATTGCTTCCGTTAAATGCATTTGTGAAGAATGAGATTGTATATTTATCTAAAGATTATATTAAAAAATATGGTAATATATGATCTGAATTTGTAGCCAAAGCTTGATCATTAGGTTTGGCTTTACTTTTTGGGGAAAATGTAACATAAATTCACTCAATCAAAGGCAACCAACTAATCACAAAATCTTTGTTTCAGTGGTAATATGTGCCAAAAACTGTCAGGAAGCCTCTGGCCTGCTGCCCGAGAGCAGGGGCGACGTGTTATGAGGGCCAAGAGGAAGGAAGCGAGACAAACTTGATCTTTCTAGATGGGAGACACCTTCTCTTAGCGCTGAAAAACAACCATTACCCCACCCTGAGTGAGAGAAATGCAGCCGACAGATGTTCGGAACTTCCCCGCACACACGCGCACACACACACACACACGCACACACACGCACACACACGCAGGCTTGTAAACACATCCTGCGAAGCTGCTCAGAGACATGGATGAAAATGCCGGCACAGGACATCCGTCAATAATATAAAGCAAGCAGGAGATAAGGGAGGAGAAACAGAGCTGGGAGGTGGTAGAAATGGAGTGCGGTGACGAGGGAGCAGAGTTCACCAATAACTAAAAAACAAGCGGAAAGTTACCTCATTGTCAGTGCAGTCTGAGCCCCACAGTGAATGAACCACAGAGCAGTGAGTAGAGGCACTCCAAAAAATGAACTATGAACTGAAATACTTGCTTTTGTACAAAGTATGATGCAAAAAAGGGCTTTGAAAGAGGAGGAGAAAACCTTTCAAGATCAACCCCTGGAAGCTGCTCGCACTAAGACATGCAGCAGTCAATCATTATTGCTCCTAGAAGTTATGATTGCTCCATTCAGCACTAAAATGAAAGACATGTCATTTTAAACTGTGGTCTGGACAATTATTTTGTCATTTGTGCACTTAAACAATCTAAACAAAAGTCAATTTATTTCATACATATCCTACTTTTTAGTAATCATTTGATTACTAAAATATTACTAAACATTACTGACATTTCAGAATTATTACTAACATTACTAAAACATATTTGAAAAATAAACCGTTTGAAATACTGTCAAAGTTGATATCTGTTCTCATATCAATCCCTTCCAAATGAAAATGGGAAGGAAATCGTTTACCTGGGATGTAGAGTGCATGTGGGTGTCCTTGTGCTTTTATGTGTTTGTATGGAGTTCGGCTCAATTGTGTGCTTTGTAACAAAAAAAAAAAGAAGAAGAAGAAGGAAAAACCATAAAGGAAAACAACGATTAAAAAAACAGAGTGGGAGTTGTAGGTCTCGGCTACTTCCAGGCATTGTGAGAAGAACGGATGAGGGGGGTGGTTGAGGAAAAGTAAGAACATTACTAAACGGGTTCACCAATGGCCGGAAGCCATTGAGTCTGTCCCGTTGGCAAAACCGGGCAACGCTCACAGGGACTTCCTGCATCTTGCCCCATCTGTCAGTGCCCATCAGCGACCCGCCGGCCCTGTTTGTGATGACAACCCGGATTGATGCTGTCCGCCATCCAAATGAAGGAGCCATGCAAACCTGCCGCGCTCACATGAAGGGATTCCCTTTGTTTGATGGCTTCCTGGTTGCCTAGACAGAACTATATTGTTTATCAGATAACATATGGACTGAGGCCATGCTTTGACTTCAAAACCCACGGTTGGTGCCAAAGTGTTGATGGCTCCGGCAACACTAACACAGGTCAGCCTAAACTGCCTCTTCCTGTGGCCGCAGGGCCTGGACATATAAGGGCAAAGGGAGCAGGAGGAAGCAGGGAGATCCCAGAGAGAGAGGCTTTGGTTGTTTGTCTATGTTTTGGCAGCGATGGACCGAGACCTGAAAGATAAATGAAGAAGTTATGAAACCCTTCACTCAAAGAGATTCTTTGCTAGGAGGACCGGGAGGAGGAAAAAGAAGAAGACAGGAGGGGTTTAGAGGTGGGGGGTTGGGCTGCTGACCCAAATCTCATGAAGCACAAAATAATGAAGAAAACGCTTGACCTCCATTTAGTGTAGAAAACAACTGAGGAAACACACAAATTCCGATCAAACTTTATGAGTACATACCCAACCAACCGTTAATCATTCATTGTAATGTGGAACCTCAGGGAGGAAGACAGTCTTGATACAAACCTTGAAAATCTGCATGGAAATGAATAATTGTTTTTCCCTTGTGTGTAACGCAAAACTAGAATATCTTTCAGCAAAATAAATCGGCATCTTCATAGAGAAGGATTAAAAGACCAGCAGGAACCTGAACCAAAACACACCCCAAAGCCTTCCAAGTGAAGCTCCTTAATGCCACAGAGGACCAAAGAGTGCTGACAGTCATCAACTTTCCTCCACGATCACCTGACCGCAACCCCCACTGAACATTTATAGGAGCAGCTGAAGGCTGCTGGGGCCGAGCATTCCTGGCATAGCAAGAAGCTCCTTGGGTGGTTGACATTGTCAGATCATGCTGGGACAGCGAGGCTTGAACACATTTGTGGAGTACCCTAACTCTATCTATCTATCTATCTATCTATCTATCTATCTATCTATCTATCTATCTATCTATCTATCTATCTATCTATCTATCTAT